AATTTCCTTAAGTATATTCTCCATGCTTAAGCTGGTATCTAGTGAAGCTCTCCTTACTTGAAGTTTTTCTTTATCTGATTTTCCTTTCATTGACATCAACTTCCCAACCAAATCTTTAAGCTGGATAACCTTTTAATCCCTTTAGTCCAAATATTTGGTTTTATTCCTCCTCAATCACTTTAATTTTAATTTTAATTTATTCTCTTCAAATAATTTCTTATATCAATTCATTCATCAAATATTTTCTAACTAATTTATTATAGAGTAGATCAATTCCTTAAAAATTCATTAAATCCAATTTAGTTATATTAATATTAATTGATTTATATTTTCCTCTAATTCTTTTTTCTTTCCTGTCTTTGCAGCTTTCCTGTTCAATTCCTTCTTATTCTAATTTCAGCTTCTTCTCCTCTTTCTGTTATTTACGTCTACTTCTCTTCCTTGGGTCTCGTCTGCTTCTCGTCCTTGAGTTTCGTCTACTTCTCGTCCTGGCTCCACGTCTGCTTCTCGTCCTTGAATTTCGTCTGCTTCTCGTCCTAGCTCCACGTCTGCTTCTTATCCCCGATGTTCTTCTCTATCCTTCAGCCACTGTTGTCCTTAAATATCTATTTGTTTAGGATTTACACTGTATTTGCCGCTCTGCCGCTCTGTAGCGATGTTTCTCTATGGTTTCTCTATGGTTTCTCTATGGTTTCTCTATGGTTCCAACTTCCTCCTCCCAACTTCCGCCCTTCTTGAAGCTCTTCCGCCCTTTCTTTGTTTCTCCACCCTTTCCTCCCACAGCCTTCTTCTTCGTCACTTCCTCTTTGTCACTTCCTGCCTTGTCCTTTCCTTTTGTTTATAAAGAAGAGTGCCAGTTAGACACAACAATATGGCGCCAAGGTCAGGAATTTTCCTTCTTCGTTAACTACTAGGCTGAGTGGGAGGATAAGGGAATCAGGGGGGGGCAGGAGGAGGGGGACTCTCACAGCATATAATATCTTCTCACTTCTTTCAGTTTATCTCATTCGTTTCCCTGTCTTCCAAATGCTTATTTTAATTTGCCGCTCTGCCGCTCTGTAGCGATGTTTCTCTATGGTTTCTCTATGGTTTCTCTATGGTTCCAACTTCCTCCTCCCAACTTCCGCCCTTCTTGAAGCTCTTCCGCCCTTTCTTTGTTTCTCCACCCTTTCCTCCCACAGCCTTCTTCTTCGTCACTTCCTCTTTGTCACTTCCTGCCTTGTCCTTTCCTTTTGTTTATAAAGAAGGGTGCCAGTTAGACACAACAATATGGCGCCAAGGTCAGGAATTTTCCTTCTTCGTTAACTACTAGGCTGAGTGGGAGCTCCACGTCTGCTTCTTATCCCCGATGTTCTTCTCTATCCTTCAGCCCCTGTTGTCCTTAAATATCTATTTGTTTGGGATTTACACTGTATTTGCCGCTCTGCCGCTCTGTAGCGATGTTTCTCTATGGTTTCTCTATGGTTTCTCTATGGTTTCTCTATGGTTCCAACTTCCTCCTCCCAACTTCCGCCCTTCTTGAAGCTCTTCCGCCCTTTCTTTGTTTCTCCACCCTTTCCTCCCACAGCCTTCTTCTTCGTCACTTCCTCTTTGTCACTTCCTGCCTTGTCCTTTCCTTTTGTTTATAAAGAAGAGTGCCAGTTAGACACAACAATATGGCGCCAAGGTCAGGAATTTTCCTTCTTCGTTAACTACTAGGCTGAGTGGGAGGACAAGGGGATCAGGGGGGGGCAGGAGGAGGGGGATTCTCACAGCATGTAATATCTTCTCACTTCTTTCAGTTTATCTCATTCGTTTCCCTGTCTTCCAAATGCTTATTTTAATTTAGTTTAATTAATATTGTTTAGTTAATTATCTAAGCCAAAATAAATCAATAAGCGGCGAGTAACTATGTAATTTGATAGGTATTGTCCAAATTGATCTATTCACAATAGCCCTTTCCGGGTTTTAAAATATAGCTTTAAATTTCGAGGGGGAAAGGTTCCCCCTTGATTTTGTCTCCTTATCTATCTTCTTCCTTCCTTCTCCTCTTCTGTTCAAATCTTTTACCTGGTGTTGAGATATTCTTTAATTTCTCTTTTGAGTTTCTTAATTTCTTCTTCGTATTTGTTGCATGGGCTGGCAGCGGTTGGAACGGGTCAATGCCCGATCCCAGCGGGGCGCCTGTTCTCCCGTCGGCTCGGACCCTCTTTACCCCCCTCCTTGAGGGAAGGGAGTATTTGGGGTCTACGAGCCTCCCACGGGTTACTCTACACCTTCACACTCAATCTGGTGATGGTGGGGGAGCTTAATCTCACCCTTAAGGCGCCTCAATGCTGGTCTGCATCGGAGCTCCCTCTCAATGCAGCTTTCCCGTCGCCATCACCCACCGGAAGACCAACTCTTTGTTTTTAACTCCTTTATTTTATTTCATATCCTGTGTTTACCCTACTGTGTTACTTGTATTGTTTATATATATATATATATATTAGTTAATACCTGTTGTATGTATTTTATTTTGCTGTATTGTAATTGTTGGGCTTGGTCTCATGTAAGGCGCCCCGAGTCCCCCCTTAGGGAGATGGTGGGAGGGTATAAATAAAGTTTATTTAATATTTATTTATTTATATTTAAGGTCCATGTGATGTCCCTTGGAAATCTAGTAAATCAGGCAGTGCTCAAGTATAACACCAGAAAGGCCTCATTTCTTTTCAAGTTATTGACATGAAGGAAGACCTTGGTTTAGGTACAGCATACATGTGGTGCTACTACCTTCTTTTATCAGAGGACAGGTTTGCTATTGTTACACCCTGTTTACATTGTGATTTATTCTCCTTTAAACCTTCCCATGCCTTAATAACATTTTTTATTCCCCACCCAAGAAAACGACGGTTCAGTGCCAACTAACAGTCAAGAACAAATAAGTTGAACGTTAAACTTTGCACGTTTCTTTACGTGCTACCTTTGGGGACATGGCTTATAGACTTTTTATAAATACAAACATTAGTCATATGTAACAAAGATGTGTCTCTTTTACTTCGTGGGATACATTGTGAGGTCAATATCTAGCCCAGCTTACAACACATGAATCCTGAAACAGAAAAGGCTGAAACATTTGTATTGCAGTACTAAGGTAGGTAAAGGTTTCCCCTTGACATTAAGTCTAGTCATGTCCGACACTGAGGGTGGTGCTCATCTCCATTTCTAAGCCAAAGAGCTGGCATAGGCACCTCCAAGGTCATGTGGCTGGCATGACTGCATGGAGTACCATTAGCTTCCCACAGAAGCGGTATCTAGTTATCTACTCACATTTGCATGTTTTCAAACTGCTAGGTTGGCAGAAGCTGGTGCTAACAATGGGAGCTCATCCTGCTCCCTGGATTTGACCCGCCGATCTTTCAGTCAGGAAGTTCAGCAGTTCAGCAGTTTAATCCACTGTGCCACTGAGGGCTCCTATTGCTGCACTTTCTGTTAATTATTTAGAGCATTTTTATCTGAATCTTCAGAAAGAACAATTGTATTACTCTTATACTTTGGTAGCTATATGAATGTACACACAGAAGCCGCAAGTCAACATCCCCTCAGGATTTGATATAGACTTTACGCTATGCTGACACATATGCCATCCTTGCAACTTACTTTAAAGCACCAAAGCTCCCTCATACAGACATTCAATGCTGCAGCAGGGACAGGCATGTGCAGATAGCCACACCCCATCAGCACTGAGATCTGTGGATCTGCCAGGGGTCTCAGTGGTTTTGTGATCACTGTGCAACTGGCTTGGGGGGATGGGTTGCTGGAATCTTCTCCAACCCTTCTTGTTCACATTTAGGCACCGAATGCCCCATAAGAAGTGGTTTCAGAGCCTCAGGTTGGGATGGGTATTTGGGTGCTGTGTGGAAAGGACAGACATACTGACCTCCACAGCATCCAAAAAAGTACATTTGGACCCAGAAGGGACAACTAAGCATATGAATGTCCCAACCTGCATTTCACTATCTGCACTATAATTCCATCATACTGTCCATTCTGCTTCTCAGTGTCTGGTCTAGAGTCAAAATGGTGGAGCATATTCCAAACAGAAAAATGTTAGTTCTGTGTAAGATTTCAATTTACTTTTTCTCACAAGGTTTTTCTCTTCTATACAGACAGGTCATCCAGTTTTTAGCAAGACCCCTCTCTATATTAAGAAGGGGACTTAAACATTATTACCCCCCAAAAAGAGAAATGGCATTCATTTCTGCTGATTACATTCATTTTCCAATGCAAAACATCTTTATAAATAAAAATGTAATGTTCGTTTGTGGGATTAACAGAACTCAAAAGCCACTGGACGAATTATCACCAAATTTGGACACAAGACACCTAACAACCCAATGTATGTCCTTCACTCAAAAACATTGATTTTGTCATTTAGAAGTTGTAGTTGCTGGGATTTATAGTTCACCTACAATCAAAGAGCATTCTGAACCCCACCAACGATGGAATTGAACCAAACTTGGCGCACAGTTCTCCCATGACCAACAAAAAATACTGGAAGAGTTTGGTGGGCAGTGTCCTTTGGTTTTGGAGTTGTAGTTCACCTACATCCAGAGATCACTGTGGAGTCAAACAATGATGGATCTGGACCAAACTCTACACGAATACTCAATATGCCCAAATGTGAACACTGGCGGAGTTTGGGGAAAAGAGAATCTTGACATTTGGGAGTTATAGTTGCTGGGATTTCTAGTTCACCTACAGTCAAAGAACATTCTGAACCCCACCAACAATAGAATTGGGCCAAACCTCCCACACAGAACCCCCATGTGGGCCACAGCAATGCGTGGCAGGGGACGGCTAGTACATATATACCTGTTCAAAAAGAAAACAATGATACTATTTTGTTTCATTCATTTATAGCTTCCCATCCTCCAAATACGTGGCCCATTACCCTGTGTACTTATGACTTACTTTGTGTAATAAATTACAATTATGAGATAGCAACACTGGAAAACGTCTACTAAAATGTTTCTGCTTACCTTATCCCTTGCATCATTCAGAAGGTCCTCGAGCTCGGAAAAGCTGAAACTGGCTACAGTAATAAAGTCGCTCATGACAGGGACAAACCTGTCACCTGGTTCTTGCATACGTCTCTTCTGGTACTCTAGCTCCTAAAAAGGGGGGAAATCAGAAAAGATCAATCATAGAATCATAGAGTCGGACGAGATTTTGTAGGCCATCCAGTCCAATTCCCTGCCAAGAAGCAGGAAAATTGCTTTCAAAGCACCCCTGACAGATGGCCATGCAGCTTCTGCTTAAAAGCCTCCAAAGAAGGTGCCTCCACCACAGCAGCAGAAGTTCTGGTGAGATGATTACAGTTGGTGTAGCCTCGTTGCTAAGCTCAATCAACTCTTTGTAAGATGAAAAGTTTCAAAACAAGAAGAGCTAAAAGGAGGACAAGGCAGAAGTAATAGTGGTACTTCTTATACCATTATGAAACACAAAATTATACATGATGATGAAATTGTTTTTTAATGTTAATTTCTAAATTCCCGGGGCAATAGACAAGGGTAAGCTATTATGTGTGGAGGCCAATCAGAGTGGCCAAAACAGTTCTATAAAGAAGATCGACATGTTCAGGCTCATGCCTCTGCATTTAAAGTCCACCTTTACTACATCCCCAAGATCAAGTTTCTCCTTCGGTTTCTACATGGTTATATATTATATGCATGAAAGTCAAGGGACCTAGTCCCCACCAAAGGTTGTTGAACTCCATTTTACATCTTTCCTATTGACATGCCATTCTGTGTATGGCTGATGGGTGTTAAGAGTCACCCAATATCTGAATGGCTGCTGTTCTCTATGTGAAAAGCAAAGTGCTGGTGATGGAGAGAGTTAAGGGAGGCCTGGGAGAGAGAAGGAAGCAAAGGGGCACATGACAAATAGTAGGGATGCTCACAATGCCAGCTCTTAACAAATGACAGATGACAAAATGACTTAGTCATTATTAAAGAATAATCCCTCCATTCTGTTACACTATATATATGTGTTCCTCACAAAATTAGGGATTCCTGTTTCTTTTTGGCAGGGGCTAATAGTGCCACAAAGAGGATCATTCCCAGCATATCAGAACTAGAAAGACAGTAGTGTTCAGCCTCAAGACTCCTTCACTTTTGTTAGGGAGTTCAGCGAAAGTGAAAGATCCCCTGGCAGTATGATCAGAAGGGGCATGAAGTTCTTTTCCTAAGAAACTTGTCGGTGCTTTGACTGACCTCAGGAGGTCAGTCAAGGACAACCTCAAGCACTTTTATAGCCACCTCACTTTGAAACTCTTGCTATCCCAATCTGAAAACTGTATATGCTTGATATTTGCTTTATCCTCCAGATGTTTTGCTCTCTTCATGCAAGGAGTACACTACCCCGATTTTGTAGGATTTTGCTTAGACTTCACTTGATCTGGGGATTGCAATTACAAGTCTTGTTATCTATTTTCTGAGTGAAATGACATCCCTGACAGGGTAAGTGACTAATAAAATGACCTATTTGCCTAAAACAATATTGTGAGCCTGAGTAATTGTATTCCCAACTCAGAGAGGGTATTGAACGCTCTCTGAATTTTGAACCCAAAGCAACTTAATGTTGTAGACAAAGGAATCCTACATTTCAGTTCATTCTTTCTGGTTGGTCTTGGATCCATCAAAACCTCTCAAATCTAATCTATCTCCAAAGACTATTGAGAGTATAAGGAGGCACAAACACCACCCTGAGTTCCTTCAAATAAAAATAGGATATACAAGAAATAACAAAGAGTCTAATACAGGAGGGGATTATTGGTATTTGGGGGGGGGGGTGTATTTTTTTTGGGGGGGGGAATACCAAGTCAGGTCAAAGGCTTGAAAATATTAATTGGGGCGGCGGCGGTGTGGGTTGAGACTACAACTACCCTGAGGAGCCACTGATAGTCTATCACTTTTTTATTACAGTTTCCAGAATTGGAGTCCCACAACATAAACCTTTCCAAGCTTCAGTTCAGGTATTAGTCACTCTTTTTCAGCACTGCTTATGGATAGGCAGCAGCTTTCTGAGGTTTCAGATGAGACTCTTTTCTAAGTCATATCTGGAGATCCCACACATTGGACTTGAGTATCTTTAGTTACTAAACTATGTTCCTTCCTTCAGTTGCATAACTGTGTTTTATCAATGTGCTGTAATCGTCCTTGTTTCTCCCTCCTCTCTTCCATTCTCTTCTCCATCCTGTCTATATTTAACCTGCAAACTCTTTAAAGTAGAAATCCATCTTTCTTTTCAACTGTGACAATTCAGCTACATTGATAAATTATTTACAATACTGGTGCACTGATTTCCCCTTCCTCTTTCAAACAAAACAACATCTTACACTGGGATTTTCTGGGATGCTGCCTATTCACTCTTCAGCAGAGGAAAATATCAGACATCAACTTTTTATTGCAATGGTCTGAGCCAAATACAGGGGATCATTCAAAAGTTTTCTATTCCAGAGCTGAAGTGAAAGTTCTTTAAAATTCTGCTAACAAGGTTCTTGGCAGCAAGGCAAGCACCCTGCTGCTGAGTTTGCAAAAGTTACATTTTCAGAAAACAGTGCTCAAAATCCCCCACCGAAAATGGAGAATTCTTGGAGTTATCCTCCCCAAACAGAAAAGTTTCCAAACTCTGCCTGGCAGTAGGGCTCATAAAGAAGCACAAACGTTTATAGCTTTGCCATTTTTAATATATTTTGCACTGACAGCTTTGCTCTGTGAAGTTTCTCAAAACTTGGCCTCACGTCTCCTTTCTAAACGGTGCTGCCAACCCTGGGAAGTGAAGGATTACAAAGTGCCTGTGTGAGCAGCTGACTGTGAACCTATTTTTAGTCTTGTGTTTGTAATAAGGGGCCTTGACAAACCCTCTCAACTGTCAGACCCAGAGCTGTGGCGAGAACAGGCTGGCACAGAGTCAAGGGTTGCACCTTTTTTTTTCTTTCCCTCTCCTTTTAGTCCCCTCCTTAAAATGGTCTTCCAGTGTAGCTACAGAGTTGCCAAAATAGTGAAGTGAATGAGCAAAACCAGGAGGGGAGGTTGCCAAGGCTGGGAGGAAAAAAATAATAATACTCATAATCGTAATAAAGTAAGGGGGGAGAGCTGCTCTATGAATGAGAAAGTCATGATACTCAAGAGGAGGAAAGCAGAGGTGCTACAAGGACACTGGGCAAATAACATGAAAGCTGAAAGCAAAGCAAATCCATGGTTTATCATCTGACAGCTGCAAGCATTGGGATAATTTCTTGGTTGGGTGAAACAGCCAACACAGAGAGGCTGGGGCACACAAAGCCTTTCTAATCATGTGAAAAACTGTGTTTACCACTGGAGGCAGGCTGAACTTGTCAAGGACTAAAGCCAGATCTTGAGAAGTTCTCAACATTATCATGTAAAATTGGCCCTGCATCAGCCAGTGCTCAACTCGGCATGGAATTCAGATTTCAAAATGCACAGGGATCAGCATTTAGCAGAAAAGAAATGCCATTTTGAACCTTTTAAACATCTTGGCAAATTATCTTTACTTTATTTATTTTTATTAAACTATTTTTACTCTGCTCTCAGGACACCATATAATGAAAACAACATAAACATTTAGAAAAAGTTTCAAATTAAAAACAACCAAGTAATTTAAACTTGGTTAATTTAATAATTTTAAATAAATCATCCTGTTAAAAGAGCAGAAAAGACAAAAACAGTTACAACAATGTACCGTATATACTCGAGCACAAGCTGACTCGAATATAAGCCAAGGCACCTAATTTTACCACAAAACTTATTGACTCAAGTATAAGCTGAGGCTGCGAAATGTAGCAACTACTGGTAAATTTCAAAATAAAAATAGATACCAATAAGATTACATTAATTGAGGCATTAGTATGTTAAATGTTTTTGAATATTTACATAAAACTGTAATTAAAATAAGACTGTCCAACTCTGATTAAATCATTATTCTAACCTTCATTGTAAATGTGATTACGTATCCTTCCAATAATCACCATAGTTTATAGTTTATAGTAACTATACATTTTGGGGAAAATGCTGTGTTTATGTGAATAAGGAAAAGAGGGAAAAACTGATGCCAAGAGAAAAGGAAAGGAAGGTGCACACTGTACCGAGAAAGGAGAGGAAGGTGTGTGCTACACCAAGAGAGGAGGAGAGGAAGGAGAGCTGGGTTGTTGTATGGAGAGGTGAGGGTCCTGGCAGGAAGGCGTGGGGCTGAAAGAAGCCCTTCTTTCAGACCCATGCCTTCCTGCCAGGACCCCCACCCGAATATAAGCCGAGGGAGGCTTTTTCATCCTTAAAAAAGGGCTGAAAAACTAGGCTGATACTCAAGTATGTAAGTAGATGTCCACTAAGAATGAATAAAAAGACATATTTTAACTTGATCCTTAAAAGAGACAATTTAGGCTCTAGTTTTTGAAAAACAGAACATATGCATATGGTTGCTGGCCCAGATAAAGAACATATGCATACCAGTTGCAGATGTAGAGCCAACCTCAAGAAATGGGGCTACAAAGTGGAATCCACAACATGCGAGTGTGGAGAAGAGCAAACCACAGACCACCGGCTGCAATGCAACCTGAGCCCTGCCACATGCACAATGGAGGACCTCCTTGCAGCAACACCAGAGGCACTCCAAGTGGCCAGATGTCAAAGGACATTTAATCAACTACCAAGCTTGCAAACTCTGTTTTGTCTGTTTGTTAAAAAAATGTTAAAAATGTAATACAATTGTTTGGTTGATACTGACACGATAAATAAATAAATACCAGTTGCTCGCCCAAAGAAAATCATGATAACCAAATCTATAAAACTAGAGCTGATGTGCTCCATCCAATGCAATTTTCTTTCCCCTCCACCTCAAAGCTAGCATAGGTAAAGGTAAAGGTAGTCCCCTGGCATTAAGTCCAGTCATGTCTGACTCTGGGGTGTGGTGCTCATCTCCATTTCTAAGCCGAAGAGCCAGCGTTGTCCGTAGACACCTCCAAGGTCATGTGGCCGGCATGACTGCATGGAGCGCCGTTACCTTCCCGCCGGAGCGGTACCTATTGATCTACTCACATTTGCATGTTTTCAAACTGCTAGGTTGGCAGAAGCTAGGGCTGACAGGGGTAGCTCACGCCGCTCCCCGGAATCGAACCTGCAACCTTTTGATCAACAAGCTCAGCAGCTCAGTGCTTTAACCCACTGCACCACCGGGGGCTCCTCAAAACTAGCATAGGATTTCTTTATTTATTAATTTTATGCTGAACCAGACTAGCAAAGTTATGTCTCTGAATACCACTTTATTTGGAAGTGTTAATTTAGTTTAGTCTTGAGAATGGCTCCTTTGTCACACATAACATGATATGACATGACATAACAACATAACATAACATAACATAACATAACATAACATAACATGAAACTCTTTCTAGAAGTAATTACACAAAACTCAGTGATGTGATTGCCTAGTGTAGCACAGCCTGTTTTGCTTGATTTAGCATTGTGACCATCTCTTTCTCTGCCCTGCCTGCTCTCTTGGCAGTAATAAATGCCTTAATGTAGAAGCCAAACCCCACCTGTATCAACCTGTCCACAGGGTCACATCAAACACCTGCTTGGAGACCACATTTTTTGGAAAAGGAGCAACAAAATCATTCAGTGTTTTATAAATGTCATTTGCCAAAGTCCCAATCCCCTCCTCCACAGTAGCTGATCAAACAAGGTTGTTGTTAAGGGGTACATCTGTTAATATCGTCAAGTTCAGCCTTCACGGGAAACATTTAAAAAGAAAAACTAGTCTTAAGGAAACAAGAGTCTGCCTGACAAAAGGAAGAAAAGCCCACTCTTCTCTGCTCAAAAACACAGGCCCCCAGATCCCAAGTGGGACATTTTAAAGTGGAAATTTGGAGACTGTGACATACTTACAGCTTCAACAGCTTTCAATCCAGCCTTTATGTTGTTAACTTCCTTCTCCAGCTCCATCAGGCTGCAAGGAGACACAGGGCAGTTTAAAGACAAAAAGGGCAGTGTTGCATAGGAATACAAGAATTGCTGAAGCAGAAAAGATCACTGGTCCATCAAATCTAGCATCCTGCCTCCGGCAATGGGCCCACACCAGATGCTCTGAAGGGAGAATGAGGGTCCATTCTGATTTCGATTGACTTCTAATGGGAAGTTTCAGACCCTAGACAGCTTGTAGTCCCATAAAGGATGCCATGCTATTCAGGACAAAGCCAGCCTTTTAGTCTGGGCATGAGAGACGCAAAATGGAAGCGGGCTGTGAAAACCATGCAGATTTTTAGCATGAAATGTTTGCTACATGATCAAGTTTAGATAAAGCATCTAAGTGCCATTTTCCTACTAATTGCTACTTTTAAAAATTTTAGACAGCTGGTGTTCTTGCTTTTTCTCATGTGTTTGTGCTTACATATTGAGAAAATGCTACTACAGTAGAGTCTCGCTTATCCAACGCTCTGTATTATCTAATGCAGTCTGCCTCCACAGCTGTTTCAATACATTGTGATGTTTTGGTGCTAAATGCGTAAATACAGTAAGTACTACATACCATTACTGTGTAGTGAACTACTTTTTCTGTCAAATTGTTGTAAAATATGTTTTGCAAAATCATAATGTAATTTGACATTTAATAGACTTTTCCTTAATCCCTCCTTATTATCCAATATTTTCACTTATGCAATGTTCTGCCAGCCCATTTATGTTGGATAAGTGAGACTCTACTGTGTTATTATGTTATCATTAGCTGCTGTGGGCACCTAGAATAGAAAGGTAAGATAGAAATGTAATTCATTGATAAATGAATAACTGCTTAGCCCACAGGCAAGAACTTAACAGCGATAGCTTTATAGCATTATAGGTAACAATTACATTATAGGTAATTATAGGTAATTACTCCATATTAGATAATTACTCCATAATTACTCCATATAACTAAAGTGCCTCCATCCATTCTAACTTGGGACAAAAAGCCTTTTCTGATCTCCAGTATGACCACCCTTCTATAATTTCACTGTAAGTCAATTTTATCTTTCATATGTTTTTTCCAAACATTTTAAATAATTTATTTAATGTGTCCTTAAGATTCTTTCTATCTTTGAACATGATTCTATGGCTGTTCATGAATGTACTGTACATGGATGTAAATGCCCATGTCTATTCATGTACATACACAGAGAGCCCTTCTCACTTGCAAGTTTAACTTTTGTGGATTCAAAAAGCAAGACTATCACTACATAACACGATTTTATTCCTGGTTTTTTTTTTATGTCAGGAGCGACATGAGAAACTGCGAGTCACTTCTGGTGTGAGAAAATTGGCTGTCTGCAAGTACATGGCCCAAGGGACATACAGGTGTTTTACTATCCTGGGGGAGGTCTCTCTCATGTCCCCTCAAGAAATGCTGGAGCTGACAGACAGGAGCTCACCCCACTCCCCAGAGTCCTGCCAGCACAAGGGTTTAACCCATTGCGCCACTGGGGGCTCCTCTTTTCCTGAGTTATAAATGTCATTTCCTAATCTATCATAAAAATATGTAGTTTATTAAACTACAAAAACGTCATTTCTGCAGGACATCCTGCAGCACATTTTTCTATAGTTTTTCAATGGATATCTCATTGAGTCTCAATCAATTTAATATAGTTTGTGGCAGCCACAAAAAAAGAGTTTCTGGAGTACATCAACTACAGTACTTGCAAAGTATATCAACACCTTTAAACCAGGAACAGATTTTTTTTCAAATTTTGTTACATAGTGTCATTAGTCTATGGTGATCTAGTGCTATCTACTGAGGTAGCTATCTCTCAGAACTGTATTAGTTTGCTTATGTCCACTAGTTGATGAGAAGTCCCTCCATATCATGCAGGGAGATTAGAATACAGTAATGCAAAGAATCCTAAATGTTATGATCGGACACTTGAACATACAATTAAAACTTCTAAATTTCATTTTTATTACTAATTATTGGTCATTCCTAGTTTAGTTTAATATTTTCATATTTCTATCTATATGAGCTGTAAGGTGATAATATGGTCCAGTAGATGTTTAGAATAAGTGACGCATGAGTCTGCACAGCCATATAACCCAGTTATAAGCAGATTATCTGGATTTTATATGGCAGTGTAGAAGGGGCCTGAATTTACATGTGATAAACTTATACTTATACTGTGATAAACCTTATTCAAGTGGTATCTCCATCATTTTCGTAAGAGTGTGACTACATATTAATATCATAGCACACTCTTCTGGTGGTCGCTGCTGCTAAGTTGATATAAGAACACAACAGCACGTTAAGGCGCCTGCCACCTGCTGCTAAATAACACTAGCACTTACGCCCCCTTCCTTATCCCTCTATGCCGCACCTTAGTGAATGCTGAGAATCAGTTCAGGTTACCTATTGCACTTTAGATCTTGCACTTTATGTATGTGCCCAACGGCACGTAGTGTGTTGTTAACTGTGTGGTATTACCGACTGCGCTGCACTGAAGACTCTCGCACTCTCGCACTTTACGAACTTTCCTAGTTGGTGTGGCCGGAACGCCCTACCATCTGAAGCTATTGTTATCCATGAGGTCCCCCACCCCCCTGTTGGTACTGTCCTTGTTACTACTGACTAGCGGAAAGGTCAGGGGAGGAGGCGGACTGGAGCCTGTGGACAAATATGGGGCGGGGAGGGGGGAGGAAGGGGAGCAAGGGTGTTGGCAGGGACCAACAAATCAAACAACTGATGAAGCAGAAAATAAGACCTTGATATCAGATCGCGGCATGGAGGGGGGGAGGTGTTCCACTGGCCGAGGGGCCCCCATAGAGGTCGTGGTGGGGAGGAGGAGATGCGGAAAAAGGAGACCTCGAATTTGGCCTAATTCGGACCGTTTATCCATATTAACAATTCCCAACCGGTCTCCTAAGGTAAATTGGTGTAACCAGGTGAGCGGGCCCTCTGGTTTGAAGGTGGTGTTGTTGAACGCCAGATCTGTCAACGGAAAAACGACCTGGATCCAGGACCTAATCCTGGAGGAGCGGGCAGATCTGGCGTGCATCACGGAGACCTGGCTGGATGAAGCAGGGGGCGTAAACCTCTCCCAGCTTTGTCCTCCAGGCTTCTCCGTGCAACACCAACCAAGAACCGGAGGACGGGGAGGCGGGGTCGCAGTGGTCTATAGAGATTCCATCCATCTGACCAGGAGTCCCATCCCGCAGTCTACAAATTTTGAATGCGTCCACCTGAGGGTGGGTGACCGGGACAGAATAGGGATTCTGTTAGTGTACCGTCCACCTCGCTGCACTACAGTCTCCCTACCTGAGCTAGCGGGGGTGGTCTCGAGCCTGGTGGTGGAGTCCCAACGGCTTCTTGTGCTGGGGGACTTCAATGTCCATGCCGAGGCGACCCTCACAGGAGCGGCTCAGGACTTCATGTCTGCCATGGCAACCATGGGGCTGTCCCAACAAATAACTGGCCCCACCCACTGTGCTGGACACACATTGGACTTGGTTTTCTGTCAGGGATGGGAGCAGGGTGGCGGTGTGGAGGAGTTGTCCATCTCTCCGTTGCCGTGGACCGACCACCTCCTGATTAGATTTAGGCTCACTGCGCCCCCTAACCTCCGCAAGGGTGGAGGACCCATTAAGATGGTCCGCCCCAGGAGGCTTATGGATCCGAATGGATTCCTGACGGCTCTTGGGGATTTTCCCGCCACCTCGGTAGGTGACCATGTCGAGGCCTTGGTCGCTCTCTGGAATGGGGAGATGACCAGGGCAATTGACAGGATCGCTCCGGAACGTCCCCTCTCAAGTAACCGAGCTAAACCAGCTCCTTGGTTCACTGAGGAGCTGGCAGCAATGAAGCGAAGGAAGAGGGAACTAGAGAGCGTGTGGCGCTCGGACCCAAGCGAGCCAAACCGAGCACGGTTTGTGTCCTTTTTAAGGGCATATGCCGTGGCAATAAAAGCCGCAAAGAAAACTTTCTTTGCGGCCACTATTGCGTCTGCAAAAAACCGTCCGGCGGAGTTGTTTCGGATTGTCAGAGGTCTTTTAACTCCCCCTATCTCAGGTGGGAGCCCTGACAATTCGGCCACGCGCTGTGAAGCATTTGCTCGGTTCTTTGCAGACAAAGTCGCTTTGATCCGCTCTGGGCTGGACGCCACTTTAAATGCAGTGTCTGTGGATGTGACACAAGCACCTGCTTGTCCTATTTTGATGGATTCTTTTCAGTTTGTGAAGCCCGAGGATGTGGACAAGATACTTGGAGGAATGAGGCCTACCACGTCCATCCTAGACCCCTGCCCATCCTGGCTTCTGAAGGAGGCCAGAGGGGGATTGGCCGAGTGGGTAACGGTGGTGGTCAATGCCTCCCTTCGGGAAGGCAAGATTCCAGCGAGCCTAAAACAGGCTGTTATAAAGCCGCTGTTGAAGAAACCATCATTGGACCCCACTAAATTGGACAACTTTCGGCCTGTTTCCAATCTTCCCTTCTTGGGCAAAGTCATGGAAAGCGTGGTGGCCTCACAACTCCAGGTATTCTTGAGAGACACGGATTATCTGGATTCGGCACAGTCTGGTTTCAGACCGGGACATGGCACTGAGACGGTCTTGGTCGCCTTAGTGGATGATCTGCGCCGGGAGCTAGACAGGGGGAGTGTGTCCCTGTTGGTGCTCCTGGATCTCTCAGCGGCCTTCGATACCGTCGACCACGGTATTCTTCTGGGACGCCTTGCAGAGATGGGCCTTGGGGGCACCGCTTTGCGGTGGCTCCAGTCATTTCTGGAGGGTCGCACCCAGAAGGTGTTATTGGGGGACTCCTGTTCAACACCACAGCCTTTGACCTGTGGTGTTCCTCAGGGCTCCATACTGTCCCCCATGCTGTTTAACATCTACATGAAGCCGCTGGGTGAGATCATCCGGAGTTTCGGGGTGCGGTGTCATCGGTACGCAGATGATGTCCAACTCTGTCACTCCTTCCCACCTGCTACTAAGGAGGCTGTCGGGGTCCTGAACCGGTGCTTGGCGGTCTGGATGAGGGCAAACAAACTGAAATTAAATCCAGACAAGACAGAGGTACTCCTGGTCAGTCGCAAGGCCGAACAGGGTATAGGGTTACAGCCTGTGCTGGACGGGGTCGCACTCCCCTTGAAGGCGCAGGTTCGCAGCTTGGGTGTGACCCTGGACTCATCGTTGAGCCTGGATCCCCAGGTTTCAGCGGTGACCAGGGGAGCATTTGCACAGCTTCGGCTCGTGCGCCAGCTGCGCCCGTATCTTGGGAAGTCTGACTTGGCCACGGTGGTACACGCTTTGGTCACATCCCGCCTCGACTACTGCAACGCTCTCTACGTGGGGCTGCCCTTGAAGACGGCCCGGAAGCTCCAGCTAGTCCAGCGCGCGGCAGCCATGTTGTTAACCGGAGCGGGACGCAGGGAGCACACAACGCCCCTGCTGTCCCAGCTCCACTGGCTGCCGATTTGCTACCGGGCCCAATTTAAGGTGCTGGTGTTATCCTACAAAGCCCTAAACGGTTCCGGCCCAAAATACCTTGCGAACCGCATCTCGGCCTACGAGCCCACGAGGACCTTGAGATCATCTGGGGAGGCCCTTCTCTCGGTCCCGCCTGCCTCTCAGGCACGCCTGGCGGGGACGAGAGAGCGGGCCTTCTCGGTGGTGGCCCCTCGGCTATGGAACTCCCTCCCTGCTGAAATCAGACAGGCGCCTTCCCTCATGGCCTTTCGCAAGGGCCTGAAAACCTGGCTCTTCGAAAAGGCCTTCAACTAAGTGCTACGTTGTTGGAATGACCACCGGAATGTACTATGACTATGAGATTGATTATGACTCCAAACTAGACGAATGCGGATTTTTAGTTTAATTCGTTGTTGTATTGGTCTTGATTTATTGTAAACTGTTGTCTTTTTCTATGTTCTGTACACCGCCACGAGTCGCCCTCGGGCTGAGAGTGGCGGTTAACAAGTGCAAATAATAAATAAATAAATAAATAAATAAACCTGCTGTGAGTTATATAATACTCATTTAAAATGGGTTAGCTCTCTAACTCAAAGTAAGGTAACATCACAGGACTCTGTAACATTTGGTAGATTTAATAACAGAGTATATTTAATTACTTATGGTATAGTAAAAAATATGCACACCATGTTCAATACAACTTTGTTGAAGATGACAATCAAGACCGTGTAAAGAAACATCAACACAGTTATGTGGCACCATACTAATATTGAAGTTTTAATTGCTCCTCTTCCACTTACTTGACTTTTGCTGCTTCTGGAAGATACTGTAATTCAGACTGTATGTCTAGGATATCTACGTAGTTCTTTTCAAAGATCATAATCAAGTAATGTAATAATGTAATGTTCCTAAAAGAAGGAGATATGAATTGGTGTCAGTTTAGGTGCCATGTCATAGAATCATAGAGTTGGAAGAGACCACTTGGGCCATCTAGTCCAACCCCGACATGCACATTACAACATAGCCAACCAGCTAAGATTCAGAGAAATGTCAGGAATTATACTTTCAAACTAAAAGTACCAAAGGAAAAAAAACCATAATATTTCACACAGCTTTCCTCTAAATCTCAAAAACCTATTAATTATCTCCAACTGATACAACAGACAACCCACTATTGCAACGAATACAAGAATTCTTCCCTTGTTAAGTTCAAGTTCACTTTATTATAGTCAATGACTAGTTCGAGAGAAAAGAGACACTGTCCCGGAGAATCCCTGCTTAACCATGGAAATCTACTGGGTGACAATAGGCAAGTAATGGCCTTTTCGTCTCACAGCAAGGCAAGGACCAACTCATCTGGACAAATCTTGTCAATAAAACTCTGTTATAAATTTGCCTTAAGGTCGCTGTTAGTTGAAGGTAGACAACAACAAATGGATTATGGAGATTTCATGAAGTTGAAAAACACCCTGGAAGGGGTAAATGTACCTCTACGATACACATTGCTCTATAAGAAGTTGCCTAATTATGCTTATAGATAAAAATATGCATATGAAACAAAATGCATTTCAATTGCATTTTTATTTTATTTTATGTAAATTGTTGTGCAGTTATTTTTTAAACAACAACAACAAAGAATGGTATAATAATTGTTATAAATAAATAAACCTACTTGTCTATGCTGGATTTGGTGTCTGCTATTTTGTTCAGGCTTGACACTTTAAAGCCATATGCATTTCCTCTTTGGCCTTTGTTCATGTAGTTGCCGAAGGCTAGGACAACCTCCAAGAGCTGCTTGAGGTGCTTACTACGGATGAGCTCTTTGGATGCGAGAAGAATGGCTGAAAGAAACAGAGAAGACTCTTAAAATAGCATAGCTGTGATATCTGAACATCAAACTATTTGGGAAGACAGGTCTAAAAGCATGCAGCATCCTTGCCCCAGTTCTAGCTCTCACAGCAAATTCCTCTGTCCTGGGGGGAATCAAAACATGCAAGAAACATGATTATGGTTATTTGTTCACTTAAAATTTAGTGGATATATTCTTCCAAGATTTAGGGCTATTACTAAATAAGTTTTGGTGAAAAATGCAGAAGTTTAGAGTGAAGTATGTGGGACGTTTGTGATTCTTATTCTCAGCACTGGCCTAGTATTTAAGAAAACAGCATGTGTTTGATCTTAATTTGTAGGGTGTAAAAGGATTCTGGTACTTTCCAGAAAGATGCAACAGGACATAAGATGTTTGTGTGGGTAATGAAAGAGAAAAGATTTAGGCTGAATGATTAGGAATATACAGCTACTTTCCTGCCTAACAACTGATGGTTACCTTCAAATGAGCACCTCACTCCACAGTCTTTCTTAAGATTCTACAATTGTACTATGATCTTTTTTGTGGAGGCTTCAGCTTACCTTCCACTTTTGGCTTGGCTTCTGCGAGCCTCTCTGGAAATTTCTTCTTAAAGAATAATGCTTGAAGTCGCTGTTGATAGTGATCAATCCTGAAGGAGAGTGAGCATGGATTACATTTCATTGAGAATCTCATGAAAAAAGAGAGCAACCAGAACTCATTTTTATGTAAAGCCTAATCCCAGAGCATCAACTAATACTGCTCAGTTATGGATAGTCTCAGCATATAATTATAACTTTCTAGGCTCTGGCAGAGCACGATATAGCTGGAGGATGCTTTAACATCACTATGAATGGGCCCTATAAAGATCCTTAACAGATTATTATAATGTGCACAAAGTAAAATGTCAAGGAATCACTGTCAGTAATTATCATTTTGCTCTAGGAACCAGTGAGACTCCAGATTAGGAAGAAAGAACAAAAAAGCAAGAGGAGTCAAACTATATAGAGAAAAGTAGGTGACGATGCTTTTAGATGGCTAGAAATAGCTAGGTGGTACCCAACTTTGTTGCAGAACAAAAGTTACTGCAGAAATGGACCATCAGTAATTGTCCTTATCCTGAAAAGTACTATAATTTCCATTAAATAAAATATGACTCTAACATGCAACAACTTAAAAATTAGACATTGAAGGTTCTCTCTTCCTTTTTTTCTCATGTACATAAAGTCACAGGTACAGATATATATACATATATACCTGCTCATTTCATATAGAAAACGGTCTGCCCGAGCCATTCGGTCAATTTCATGTTTATGTTCCTCTAGCAGGTCAATATCACTTTTTTCTGGAACAAACTTCAATAGCTGCAAGCAAACAGGTGCAAAGAAGCAAATTAGCACACACAGCATGACAAAACCAAAAAAGCAAGGAAGCAGATGGCCTAATAGAGTTGCTACTGTATGAAAGTGCTACCTTGAATTCCCTCTGTGAACATCCATTCAAATAACCACAGCTGCAGTTATAGAAGTGACCTCTCTGAAACATCTGGTTGCTTCTCTGGTTTTATCCTCCCTCCATGACCCCAGTACACACTTCTACAGTCCATATAGGATTTCCCATTTCCAACAACTATTGGCAAGGTACATTGTTGACATTCAATAAAGAACTTCCTTAATAGCCAGAAGTATTGCAGAGGGCATTGTGATGCAAATCAAATACTAGTTGTGTTGGTCCTCCTCACCCTCTAACACACACAAACCTATCACATCCCCCTCTTATAAAAAGGTTTCGCTTCAGAGAGACAATGAACAACTGAAAAGATTTCTCAGTAAAGGCTTCTATTCATGTGATGAACTTAAAACACAAAATGATTTTTTCATATCTAGTGGGAGGAATGCTTTCCCATGGCCAAGTGAGCATACAAATGCCCATGTTCCATCATCATAGCAAAAAGCTCCTACAGAAACATCAGACAATGTGTCTGCTTTTATGGACACCTTATCTTCCTCTAAGGAGCATTTCCAAAGCTAATATCCCACAGACAAGATAATAGTAGCAGAGGGATTCATCACTGTTAATAAAAACAGAAAAACAATGTATAGAAAAATGTTCCTCAGCCAACATACATAATAGGCAAACTGGATCATCTCCCTTTGGAAGTTCTGGAATACTTATTTATTGAAGCAGTTTTATATCCTGCTTTTCAATTTACTTACAACATTTAGAGTGACACTTCAGTACCTAGTGGTAGATACAAATCCTATTTTATTATTTGAGATAATTCAATGGTTTAACTATCCAAGTGTGTAATAGCAAAATAATGGGGAAAGTGAGAGCCATATCAATGTATTTATTTCCTTCATATATCAACTGGAAAAGTTTTTCTTCTATTCTGCTGTAATGCAAAAATCATGTTCTGATTTTTATGATTTTTATTTAACACTTTTAGCTACCTTTTGAAATTGTAATCTTCCCAATGCAAGTGTACCTGACATCATTAAAAATAATTATTATTGGGATGCGAACAATAATGAAGATAGCATTAACTCAGGGAAAAATAGTAGAATTATATTGTGGATGGTTAAGCCAGAGAAATTATGTACCCAAAACAAAATATAGCTGTGAGACAATATCTGATGGCTTTGATTGATTAAAAAGTGCAACGTCTCTTCCTTTTACCATCTTGATCAGCATTTCTATTAGATATAACAGGTCACGAAGAGTTGGAAGCGACTGAATGAATAAACAACAACAATCACAGAGCTGCTCACCTGCTCCAGCATATCTTTAGCCAAATCTTCTTCTTCGTCCATTTTCAAGATCGCTTGTCGGATTTCCTCATTTGATAGTTTCAACCTTTAAAAATAAAATAAAAATGCTCCATTGCTATATTTGTCTGTCAATTTGAAATGTTTGAAAGTTCAATCTATATGGTGTTATCAAAAAAAGAATCCATTTAGGTCATAGAAATCAAGACATGGTGTAGCTTGCACCAATATTTCTCCACTGTAAAGAATGAATACTTATAATGAAGGCATACAGTATTTCACAGATTCATGTTGCCTGAAGAATCAACCACAGGATCTCGTGATACAGAAAACACTCCTGTTCAATTTGATCAGCTTAAGGGCTGATACGATTCAAAACTCATATATCTCATCATATCACTGGCCAATACGCATTTTGGTGCCTCAAATGTTATCCCTGTTTCTGAGTATATTTAACCCTCTGATTCCAAATATGGCACTAGTTTTCCCCCATCAGCTCTAGTTTTTGAGATACAGCCAGCCTCCAAGTTACAAACATCCAACTTACAAACAACTCATAATTAAGAATGGGGTTGATACAACAGGAAGTGAGAGAAATCTACCCTTAGGAAAGGAAATTTACTCTTGAAGGAGTTACAATAAATTTATTTATTTATTTATTTATTATTTATTGCATTTGTTGACCGCCGTTCTCAGCCCTTTCGGGCGACTCACGGCGGTGTACAACATATAAACAGTTTACAATAAAACCCTCATACAAGCGAAATATACACATAACCATCAATAATACCACAATAATATAATTACTCTAAATCATCCGTGTCGTCTCATCGTAGAATCAAAACCAATCTCGTA